ACAATAATGTTCATTTAAGTGTTCTGTCTAGTGAGGGTGGGATTGGGGTGAAGGGTGGTTAGAAAAGTATGTCTACATGTATGTTGAACTGATTCTGTTAATGGTTCATGCAAAAATAATAAATATATTGATTAAAAAAAAAAATTTAACTTGACTTTGTGAGTGCTTCATTTCTTGTTCAGGATATATGAACTCTATAATTCATAATCTAAGATGGAAAGGCAGTTACTGCTAATTAATGGACATGTGCTGATAAGTGCAACAATAAAATTATTATAGGAGGCATAAAATTTAAATGCATTTTTTTCTTTTACTAAACTTATAGCAAACCCTAATAAAATAATACTTAGACATGGGTTTAATTGGAACATAAACAAGAGGTAGTATATGGCTCAGCAGGTAAGGATGCTGTGATTGTGAAAAGATGATAGCAGGTTCAAAACCCAACATCCACAGATATACCCCCTTCTTGAGTCTTCATCTTTTATTATAAAAACCACTTCCTGTGACATTTCCAAAAAAAAAAAAAACATTATAAACATTGCTTACATTTAGTAATGTATTACCCAGAAGCATTTAAGTTGGAGAATTAAAGAAAAACATGTAAAGAATTGCCCAACCAACAAGATAAAAATAAAATCTTGTAAAATTTTATTACTGATTAAATTGATTTATACAGAACCCAAAGATAACAAAACTGCATTGTTAAATTGCTGTAATATATGCAAGAAATATTGTTGCCATTAAAGAGATTACGTCCTTTTTTGTGATCAAAATTTTAATAAAGAAAATTGATTGTATTCTATTCAATTAATTTTTTTTAATTATCCAATTTGAGAGTACTTGTCAAATTTTGTCAGATTCTAAATCTGATAAAATGTCATAAGCCAGCCAGCGAGTCAGTGGCAAAAAATCTAGGAAAATGTTTTCTGGGAAAGATAACCGAGTGTAATTCTGCTTTTGCTGTTTCAAAAAGTCTTTCATGATTTGCCTTATGGCTGGTGGGTTCCAGCTGACACTTACGGGTTAAAAGTGAATCTAGTCACAATGTACTGATTCCTCAGAAGAAGCAGTGAATTAATCACACAGGAATCCATTCTTAAAATCTCTATCAGTACTATATCAATGTACCACTAAATATGGATTTGTAATTAAAAGAATAAATTCTAAGCATGATTGCTGCCTCTTTCCTTGCTGAGAAAAACTGAAATTTACCTGTTATGACATCAAACCCAATATAAAAAGGACACATACTGTAGACAGTAGAGACCCCTAGCCCTTGTCTGGAAATACAGTAATATCTGTTACATATAAAAATATTAGACTGGTGCCATTTAGCATAATAGAATTTTACATTAAACTGTATTCTTGCATATAAGACTTGGGAAATACATAATGTTAATGACAAAAACATAAATCATCCTGAGTAATCAAACACATCACCACAATCCAGGCCCTTCTTCTGCACCTGAGAAAGATGTAATTTTAATCATAAATGCAGTTATACATGTGGTACAGTATATTGCATTCATAACATAAAAACATCTCTTGCTGTCTTTTTCTGCTGAATTACTTATACTGTACCAATGTGTTTATGCAATAATATTCAGTTCATTTTTAGTTAATGTAAATCTTACCTTAACTCGATGGTACCAAAATTCTCCCTGTTGAACAAGGACAAACATCAAACATGAAGCATTATTCATCAGAGACACACTGTGGCGAAATGTATACTGCTGATGCTGATTTGGCTTCTCACCCGTAGACTTCTTCTTGTAATAGACCAATCCAGCGATGGAGAACACGAGCCCCAGCACCAAACCAGAAGTCCCAATGATCACCTTGTTTCTCTCCCCTTCAGGCAGTGATGGGTCTGAAAAAACAAGTTCTTAAGAATCAAGAGCTTTTCATAAATTTGAATAGGGATTTCTTTAATTTATTGTGTATGTACTTGGTATTTGTATGTTCCTCTGGGGGCTCTGGTTTCCTCCGGCAGCTAATTGATGAATGGGTATCTGATTTGTACTTTGTACATTAGTGTGTAATTTTTGTTGCAATTAACTTCAAACAGCTGAGTAAGAAATGTATCCCACAAAGTTTTAATAAAAGTAATAAAGAAAACTAAGCTTATTTTCTAGAAATGTTTGTCTGCCAATAGTGTTCCCCTCTTTATCCCTGTTCATCTTTCGACACAATGTTGATTTTTGTCTTACCCCATTTATATGTCTTGGGCTGCTTGAGGCTGCTGTGCTCCACCTGACACTCTATGGTCTCTCCAGACTGGGGTGTGAACTCCAGATAGGAGTGGATCTGGTGGTACCAGTCTCCATCGTAAAGCTCCTCAGTGGCAGTCACACCATCCTTCACCTCCACTCCACTCCTCAGCCATTTCAGTTTGATTCCTTCGGGGTAGAAGTCATACGCACTGCACTGCAACTTAGTGGTGTGCCTTTCACTGGAGGCCTTTACAGTCGTAACCTCAACAGTTGGTTCAACTAAAATGCAACAGAAGAGAATCATAATTAATAAATAGATTCTGGGGAAATTGAGCCAGCAGCAGATAATCAGACACATCACCAAGAGAACCAGGTTATGAAGAACCAGGCTATGGAGTGTAATGAGAATGAATGCCCAAACCACTCAAAATAATTCAAATATAAACATAATTTACAACATAAAATAATTTGAGTACCAAATAGATCCACCATAATTATGCAGACAAATAAAGAGACTTTATTAACATTAAGTGTTACGTGCATTAAATCACAGGTCAGCCATCATCCCCCATTACCTGCTTCCTGTAGCAGTCTGTACCCCCCCGTTACCTGTATGAGTCTGTAATGTGTATTTTTAATCCCCAAAGGTAAGCCGCTGTGCCTGTTCTCTTTACAGCACATAAACCCCCAGCTCTCCCGCCTTTGCTTTTCGGTATGTTTCCCTCAGCATGTCTGACCGCAGCTTCAGTTATTCAGTAACGCGCTGAATTTGTCCTACTGCTGTTTCATACTTAAGTAAATAAATAATAAGTACAGTAACTGTCCTGCCGACGCTCTTCCTTGTGCCGTTTCTCACTCCGCTCAGTGTCACTCACCTTTATGCCACAGTATGGACTTAAAGTAATTCGCAGCGTTGACCTTGCAGTATCCGTCCACGTTGGCATGCTGTCGCTCCGCTGCTCCCTCTTTGTTGTGTCTCTCTGCATTTTTCACTCCGTGTTCAGTGTAACCAATGAACTTATTCATAGTGCTGTTATACCTCAGATACTCCAGCTTGTTAAAAACATATCTGCCGATAAACTCGGTGTCCTTCAGGTCCTCTGAGCTGTAGCGGCATTCGGCATGCGTATGATGGAAATAACCGTCTGATAGAAACACAAACAAACTCACATTAATACATCTGAAGGCGGATTCACTTCACACATATTTATATTGGTTAATTTACCAATCAATACAATAAACAAACAGCACATTTTCATTAAGAAACTCAGCTCATTTTTGTTTTTAATATGAGACCTAAAGTCAGGCTCCTCATCGTGTTACTGGGAAGCAAAACTCACCCACAGGACTTAACATTTCCACAGAAATCTCCTCAAAAAGAGTCTCCCATAAACTTTTGAGTTAATTTTGAGTATTTCCTCTTCAAACACCCAATCTCACATAGCATATATATATAATTAAATGATTTAATATGTTTTCTTTTTCATTTCCTAAGTTTCACATCCAATGACCGTTACTGCCTGTTGAAACTGGCGCGTGCTTAGTTTTTAAAAGCGATCGTTACTCTTATGGACTCCTATGGTTTGGGTTAAAACTGTTTTTTTTTTTTTATCTCCCTATACATTATATTCCATATATACAAGTGTTCTAGGATCTACTCTAAAATGATATTTAAAAATTCTAGTTTTACTTTTAAGTGACCATACAGTCTGTGCAACCAGATTCTTTTCTTCATTTAGATTACAGCTCATAATAATTGTATTTTACACAATTTTCATAAACACCGACTCTCCAGACTGCAGAGAGACATCGGCCGCTTACCGACGGCGGACAGCGCAGACAGCGCAGCGAGAGCCCGAAAAGCGCTGGGGAACCACGGACTCATGTCTGTGTCGGCGGCCCGCTGATCGTAGAGCTGAGAGTGAGACTGTGAAAGTGAAGCGAGTCTATAGACAGATACCGGTATTACGGGAACCAATCATCAGTGGCGGCGGCGTCGCGTCATTCGTTACTAGGCAGATAAGATATAAGGGAAACGCGCTCAAAATAAAATATAAATACGTTAGAACCGTACATTCTAGACTCAGTTTCTAAAATATTATGCTATATTGGGCTGTTTTAGATAAATTGTTATATGATTACACGCCAAACTTATTTGTACACATCAATTGTTAATAATTATTGTTAATATTATTAATTAAACATCCATCTTCCACAGGCTTGTCGTGAGGCAGAAATATATACCTTGGAGTGGATTTGTTTGAGCACCTCGGATGCGATGGTTCAAGCTGAAAGAAGCTTTTTATGCAGTCATCTAATTCTGCTGACTGTTTCAGGCAAATAATACTGCCACAGTGACATCTATTTACTTTTCAAAATAAATACTATATAAATAAATACAACCGTGCCATGAATTCTAGCTTGGTGGAGTCATATTGTAGTTTTTGTTGAGACTATGTTCTGTGGTTCTGCAATACTTTTTCAGGTTATACTTTAGTATTGTTTCGCAGCTGTCCTGTTAAGTCTTCATCTGCCTCTATCCATCTACCCTCAGGAGGTGAGCGAGCTTGTGGAGTAGTCAAGATTGAGAAAATGATTGTGGATTTCAAAAGATTCTAGGGTGAGCATAACCCTCTATACAACAGATGCTCTCCTGTCAGCAGAGCTAAGAGCATTAAATTTCTCTGTGTGCACCTTACTGAGGATCTTTCCTGGAACCAGGACATATCCTACCTGACCAAGAAGGTCCAGCAACGAATTCATTTCCTGTGGTGCTTCAGAGAGGACAGACTGCAATCTCCCTTCCTGTCTACCTTTTACAGTGTCCAGAGGGTAATGGCAAACTGTATCACGGCCTGGTTCGAGTCCTGCAATGACTCAGATCACCAGGTCCTACAGCGGGTCATCAAAACAACTAGGACCACACAGCCTCCTCTGCTGAACATCTGTAACAGCTGCTGCATCCAGAGGACCAGTGGAATGATCAGAGACCCATCCTACCCCTCTCACAACGTCTTTGTCCCACTGCCATCTAGTAAGATGTTCTGTAGCCCCAAAGCCAGGACAGTGAGGCGTAGAAACAGTTTTTCTCCCCAGGCAGTTTGTGCTGAACAGTCTGGCCTCTTCCAATCTAAGACTGCATCTCCTAAAATGACTAACTTTCCCTCTTTGCACTGGAATCATAATACTATAACAAAAATCTATTTATTGCACATTACTTATTGTTTAATCTCATTCCCATTAGCTAAACTGTATGTTTTTAAACTATTTTTAACTGTATTTTTTGTCTCATGTGATATGTCCATGTCTCAATGTTATGTTTAAATGTCTTACATATTTGTATTGTATTTATTAATGTTTATTGGTAATACAATCAACAAGATTGAAATTTCTCATGCATCATATAATTGGAGATGACAATAAAGATACTTGAACTAAAGACATTCTTTAGACATTCTCCAGCTTCAAAAACATGATCACTACAGAATACTTTCATAAAATCATCCTGCCTCCTCTTCCTGACCAGATAGCAAACACCTCATTTTTAACAATACAGTGTTTCTGTTAAAGGTTGCAATGAAACTTTCACCTTTATTTAAAAAGTCTGGCCTTTATTAAAATAAATTTCACGCTTTTCCGGGGAAACAAATATATTCATGACAAACAGCACATTAAGCTACCGTGCTTAATTTTGAATTTCTGAATGCTCAATTAAACGAGTGACATGTCTTGCATAAAATGAAGTATAGCTAGGCAAACCTGCATGAAAATGATAAGAAGGTGTTTGGTATGGTGAAGAGCTATTTTTGTAGAGTTTGATCAAGGGTGCTTTAATGCACAGGCTTACCCACCTCTGAAGACCTGGGGACTCTGCTAAAAGTTACCTGTTTTGGAAAATATTAAACCTAGAGATGTCATCTGTCCTCTATTTTATGGGATAATCCCGTACTCAAAAATAAAATGCTGCGATCCATTTTGAAGCGATATGTGATTTGTTGCCACCCGCTCCGGTTAACAACTACACCACCATAGAAAATACCAGGGGTCTCTGATAACTCAAACAACCCAGTGGCCTCTGACTGTGTTAATGCGCCTCTGATCTTAAGTATCTAAAAAAACCTGTGCTGCATGCTCTCTAATGGTATTTGTCTTTATGAAATTCCAGACAAACCACAAAAGAACATTATTTTAAAAGGTTATAGATTCTCCATAATGTCAGAGGGCTGCAGCTTGGTGCTGGGACTGTCCACAGTAATGGAACAGAAAGAGGATTTTAAAGGATTACATGGTCATTCAATAATTTCATCATTTGCAGCTGATCTCATTTAGATTAATGCTTTCAGAAAATTACCTCTGCTGCATGTGAGCCTGCACGATACCCACGCTAAATGAATATAGGAGCTCAAAATTAATTTACAATACAGTTTTAAGATTGAACAGCAACATTAGGATACAGGGATCCCTTGAATGGGATGAAGCATTGTATTTGTGCTCTTCCTTGGTTACATATTTGTTGATGTGCAAATTCAACAGTTAATTTTTTTAAAAGTGTTTAAAGAAACCACAATCCTAATCCTCTGACTTTTCAACACACAATGAGTTTTTCTTAATTTAATGTCACAATATAACTTCAAAAGCAGAAAAGATTTTGTTAGAAACATACAAGATCATGTGATTAAAGGTATAGGATGTTAATCTTAAGTTTATCCTGATGCAATTCAAATAAACACTCATTTTCAAAATAAACTTCTCTGAACAAATGTATACATAATTGTGGACATTCTTTTGAAAATAATGGATTAAAATATGTATCATTAAAATCAAAACATCAAAATGATCCTTTATGGTTATCCAAAACACATAATACAAAACAAAGCATTCAAGATGCCAAAAATAAGGAAAAGGAATAAAATAACATAAAATCATTTCTATTTTATTTTCGTTGTGAAGATTTATGACAAAAATATCATAGGCAAATTTGTACTGGGTGTAATATACAAAAATTGCATTTGTGATAATTGATGTAATAGGTAAAATGTTTATTTTATAATCAGTAATATTAATAATGTTCATGTTCATATGATCCCAGTTGTGTACATATTAACCAGTTACATACATCATATATAGATATTACTTTTGTCCCCAGTCTATTACACAGCCTACTCACTGAAGCACCCTTTTATCTGATTGGATGTTACGTCAGAATGAATTACACAGTTTAGCATTTAATTGGACCAATCAGAGCTGTTACTGCTTAACCCTGAATGTCTTTCTCAGCTGCAGTTGTTTCCCTTGATGAGGAAGAAGGTTCCGGCTCCCACTCCCAGCAGCCCAAGAGTCAGTCCGATTCCGCAATATACTGTTTTTCCGATGTCGGACTCATCCCGAAATTCAGGTTCTACATGAGCAAAGACCAATATGATATGCAATTAATTTATATGTAATTTAATTGGTCAGTGATGGTTTATTATAGTTGATCACCGCATTTATAATAAAAACACAAAATCAGAAGCATTAATTGAAACCATACCTATCATTCAATAAACTGCACTGGTCTACGTTAGGAATACTGCTAAACCTTCCTCACTCCCTAATAATCTGTTTTCAAAAAATTGTTGGTACTTCCAAGATTTATTAATAAATAAAATTTAAATATCAATATTTTAAATGTTCTTTCTTTAGCTCTGTCTTCATGATTTTCTCATCTTGAAAAATGCCATTTCCCCATTTTGCAGATTCACATTAATCATAAAACCTGTGAATAAACTGCACTACCAACGTCTAATGAACATCCAGTGAAAAGCAGAATTCATCATTTAACGTATCATAGCCATGATTATTTGCAGTTATATTAGGCCATTTGCCATGGGGCTAAACCTGATGTAACAGGGCAGCAATTTCATTTAGTGAAACTAAATGGGGGGGAGGAGACAAAAGCATCTGATTAAGGTAACCTTACCCCAGAACCTGGTCTCAGGCTCAGTCAGCCCTTGGTGATACACAGTGCAGGAGTAATCATCCCCTTTCTGGGGGGTGAATTGGAGGGTGGAGTACTGTCTGAAGGTGAAGTCACTGTTGGGGTAATAGCGACTCAGGGTCACTCCCTCCTTCACCTCCACGTTATTTTTAGTCCATTTCACTTTGACAGGTGGTGGGTAGAAGTTGTTCACAGAGCAGATCAGAATGTTGCCTCTACCGAGTTCAACTTTATTCCTGGTATATATTGTGAGCTGGGGTGCATCTGAGAAATCAAAGATTATTATTAAATTAATAGGTTACCATTATACAAACACTACAAAATCTACAAGAACAAGTGTTCAGACTTAAAAGTATCATGTTTTTCAGCACAGATTTTGAATTGTGTTCCTGGAAATAAAACCTAGCACTGCTACATTGGATCACATATTCTCTTGTCCAATCTACAGTTAATAACAAGTCCATAATCACTGGTATAGTTCAGTTACATTTTACTTAAGCACTCTGCATTGTGTGTGGCACTAATGAGTGGCTCAGCCAGGGGACTGTGTGTCTAAGGGTTGCAGCTCCATGGAGAATCAGGGTAATTTACATTATTATCACATTACACAGCTTATAATTAAAAAAAACAACATGGCTTATTTTAAAACGTAAACTTTTAATCACATTGTAGTTACATTAATGTGTTTAGTTTTAACATTTATTTAATACTAATATGCATTTTTAGAAGAATCTCAGACAGGCCATGCTTGTAATATCTGAAGAGACTGCAGACCCAAGGTAGTGAAAATGTAGACATATTTAACATATAATTATCCCTGCAATAAACACACTGCATAGCAAATAAGTGTTCAATATTAGCATTTATTTTACATTAACTTACATTTTGTGAACTGTGCTTTAATTAATTCTAAGCATTATTTTAAGAAGTAAGTAAACTTAATTTCACTGTATCAGTGTTATTTAGCTGAAAAAGAGGTTGTGGA